ATCAAAGAGATGTGGTGGAAGGCCTGGGAGGTTGCACCAGACCGGAACGATGGGAGATTCCTCAAGAAAAGAGAAATCAGGGGTGTATTTGAACACCCGACCCGAGCAACCGAAGATATTGAGATGCGTCTTAATCTAAACCGAATTGTAATCCTCTTTCAATTCAAAAAAGAGTAAATAGTGATTATAGTTAAGAAACTTAGGGGTTACTCTACCCTTGAACCCTAATTTGACCAGACTGACAGATAAATCCCGGAGGGAAGGGACAGTGAAGGAAAACCTCAAAATGAGAGCATTATCATACGACCCAGCTAGGGAAATAACAGTGGGCTCAGGGAAACTTACCTTGAACCTGCCCTCCTCGGAGCGGGTGACGGTCCCGCTCTGCTTGTCCCGAAAAGACTCCAACATGGGTCTCTGATGTCCCGGTTTGGCAGTGGAAGTGCCAGATACCGCATCCCGGAAGGATCGAGATTCCAAAATGCGGGAGCTTTGGTTCGCCGTGTGGGGAAGTGGGATGGCCGGGTTCGGTTCTTGGGCAACATTGCTTCTTGACGGCTGTTCATTGTAGTCCATATACGTGACACACATGGTAGACCCCGGTGGTGGAAAATATGCCGGCAATGAGCCGAGACCACGCCCGCAAAATACCAGCCTTCAACGATGCGGGTGGGCCATTGTTCATGAATGTCGAAGAGAAGTGTTCAAAGCCGGTGGTAGAAGTGGTCTGGTCGGGTCGGGGGGGTTCCGCTGGGGTGGCGTTCGGCATACCGGAAAGAGCGCCCGCAATAGGGGGGCTAGCGAGATAAAGCCAGGACCTTCCGCCTGAGGGTCGCCGGAGCCGTCGCCGGAGCCGGCGGTCGGGGCTCCGATCGGCAGCAGAGTGCCTGATGTGGCAGCAGTCGATAGGATGGAGGAGCTGCGGGGGTCCTGCTGGGCGAGAGAAGAAAGGGAAGAGTTGGGCTTGGAGATGTTGGATGATGGGCTGGGCAAGTGGGTTGGAGATGAGGGAAGGGAATGGTATTGGGCCATGAGGGACGACCCATGGGAAATATCTGGGAATCGGTTGGGCCTGGGCAATGGCCCAGTAGGGCAATCCAAATAAAGATGAGCTGAGGGATAAGAGATGAAGTTTGGGGATCTGGGAAAAAACTCTGCCACCGTGAGAGGAGCTGAAGGCGGCAATGGGGGAAAGTCACTCGACGGGACAATTTCAGGATGGGGCGGCGTTGGGTTTATCGTGACGGAGCCGGAAAGAGGGGACGGGTCGGAAGATAGCTGGCACGATGGGGCTGGCGGAAATACTGTGCTCGAACGGTGAGGCGGCCCAGACAGAAAGGCTGCTTTCACGGCTGTCTTTAATTTGTTAGACCAGGTAGAGATTCTCCCATGGAGGTTGCCGGAAGTCGAGAACAAATTGGGGAAGGACTTCATGAAAATTTGTTGTTTGGAGACAAGTGGGGTATCGGGTGTTGAAGATGAGGCATGAACAGGGTCCATTTCACCGGCCAGCTTTCCGCCGGCGACGCCAGACGCCGGCAGGGAACCTAAGATGTGGCAGTGGTCGGGAAATGGGAAGTAGAATGGTAGGGAAGGGATAGGGTTTTTAGAGAGAGAAAGTAAGAGGGATGAGGGAGCACGTTTTATATATTTAACAGTGTGTTTTTATACTCTTGATTTTGAGTTCAGATATGACTTGAACTATGATAATGCCCAGGTTAAAGTGATTTCGAAAAATGAATTTAGAAAATGTTATATTAATTTTTCTGAAAGTCCAAAATTTCTTTACAATCAAAGTGGGGCGTTACAAGAAACCTAGGAGGGAAAATGCATAGAGCAACAAGGAGAATTGGAGCAGATAAGATCCAATTGTCAAATAAGAGAAACAAGAGGGGTTTTAAGAGTTATTAAGGAAGAAACTGAAAATGATGAAGAGAACAAGATAAAAAGGTTGAAATTTGATGAGCAAATGGTGAAGAGAACAAGATAAAATACTAAAAAAAAAAAGAGTTGACATACCATCTGCTCCTGGTGCTCTTGGAAGAAAGCTGCTCTATTCAGCCTCCATCCAAACAAAGCACCAGGAGCAGATGGTATGTCAACTATGGCCTATTTTGAAAGGAGAATTCTATGTTGTTGTTTAAAGTTTTTTCACTTCAAGGAGATCATTAAAATACTAGAATCACACATTAATATCTCTTATACCAAAGTGTAAAAACCCAACAACTCTCAGTCAGTTCAGGCCAATCAGCTCATGTGGAGTGGTATATAAAATGATATCCAAATCTTGGCAAAGAGACTGAAAGACTATCTGAATTGTTGTATTGGGCATACCCAAGCATCTTTTATTCGAGGTAGGCAATGGGCAGACCCAAGCATCTTTTATTCCAGGTAGGCAATTAAGTGATAATGTTGTCGTTGCACAAGAGGTTTTTCGCAATCTGAGTAGACATAGATCAGGAAACATAGGTTTATGGCAGTTAAACTTGACATGCTAAAGACTTATGATAGAATTGAATGGAAGTGTTAGCCAAACAATGTTGAAAATGGGATTTGATTGGCAATTTATGCAGTGATTTTTGACTTGTGTAACTACAACATCCTTCTCTGGGGTATTGAATGGTTCAGTGTGTGGTTACTTCAGTGCAACAATGGGTCTGAGACAAAGAGACCCCTTATCTCACTTATTTTTTATTGTATCTGAAGTTTTGTGTGCTCTAATATTAATCAAGTGGACATGAGATATTTATAGGAGTTTTTGTGGCAAAGAATGGGCTAGTGCTTTCACATTTATCGCTTGCAGATGACACATTGGTGTTGCAAAGCTGACCCTCACCATGCTACGAAAACTTTAGCTTTATATATTTAAGAATGTCTCAAACATAATTGTTTAACAATTGATCCGAGCAACAAAATCTCTCACAGATATGAAATAAAAGATAAAAAAGCTAAAATAAAGGACAAATTGAACCAGCAATTTGCAATGTGAATAAAAGAGGTGTTATTAATTTCTTAGGATAAATAGCCGCACCTTTGCCAATAAAAAAATTTAACATTCCCCTTGCCTATGCCTCTTCTAACAATTTACTAATAAATTTAAGGTGGTCAGCATGTTTAACAGTTACATTATCTGGACAAGAAATTAATACCATACAGGTTAGAACTAAAAGAAACAAGCAATCAGCATGTTGGTCCAAATAGCCAATTAACAATCACCAAAACAGTACTCAGATCTGACGTGCTGTTGCAGGATAAGAACCTCATTCAAGGTATTTCAAGTAATTCTGTGGACACCTACATTTGCCCATTAACTTTCAAGAACTTTTTTATCCTATACATTGTGGCTCACTAACTTCTACCGGTTAACTGAACTTCATTAATGTGAAATTAAGGCATCGTAGTCTACATCAAGTCAGGATCGGTTAACTTCACCAAAAAATCAAAATTCCAGCACTGGAATTCCCTGCATCATAAGAATTTTAACACTATTACGCTGACTATTTGCAAGGATTTGTAAGAAAAGCAGTTGGTGTATGATATGCAATTAGTTATAGCCACCAACCTTCAGTTCCTACGCCGTTTTGGTTTTCTGTGCATCTTCCACTGTTTAAGTAAATACTCAATCCCCTCTCTCAGTGGAGCTTTCCTTTTCTCGATGGAATTCCAAAGCTCTTTTACAGGATACCGACCACTTGGATTGTATTCATTCATCTCATTCAGTGCAGTCGTCACAGCCTCATACACTTCGTTACCCAATTCGGTTTTCAGTTCTTTCAACTTTTCATCATCTTCATCAAGTATCTCCTAGTAAATTGCACAGAGTGAATTTCATAAACAATCAGTAAAATACAGATATGCAAGAGCAATCAATGGCGGATAACACTGGCCAGAGCCAAATTTAGGATAATGTTGGTCCATATTTGCTTCGTTATGACTCATTGTGGTGGATTAAGTGAAAATAAATATATATATTAAGAAAACAGGTTATGAAATGGAACACTAGGTTAGGTTTCCTTTAAGATGAAGGTTTCAAATCGAGCAGACTAAAATCTAGGAGCTACATTCCGCTTTCAGCAACTACACATTGAGCAAGTTCAGATTTATATACAATTTAACTTTTAAAATGTTAAGTTGATAGGTTAAAAAAACAATAATTTAAAATTAATAATATAAAATGCATTAGTTTCCAGTCTTACTAATTTCCAAAAGGCCCAGAAATAAAAAAATCTACTAGGAAATGGGGAGAAATATGAGCATTCATTAACAAAAATGTCGAATAGGTGACAATGACAAACAGATAACAGTAATTGACTCACTTTCAGGGGTTTCTAGCAAGTTTATAATCTCCACCAGTTCAAGTTATATGTTTTGAGAAAGTACCATAGATTTCTTCTAAAATAACTCGTTATTCTTAAGGTCCAAACGCCTACTCTAAAAACAAAATGTAGATAACAACAAATTCCCTATTGAGATCTTAGAAACTCTTACTTCATATCAGTAGAACATTATAATAATTGATTCCAAATTCTAACAATCTTACAACTCATTAGAAAATACATCACAAGATTTAGGAGCACTTGACTATATTAGGTAAGACATTTGTCTTTCTTTCTTTCTTTCTTTTCTTTTGTCCAGTACATGACTCAAACTCATGTGACTTGCTGCTTGCCTAGCTAGCATACTTAAGACAGTTCAAGTTTGAATCGAATTCACGATTTTAGCCTTCATCCTAAGGATTCAAACTGGTCATACTGTGTGTCCCCCCAGACACAACCCCCCACCCGCAAAAAAGAAAAAGAAAAAGAAAAATCTCACACACACGCACCAAATTTTCATCATTTCCCCCATAATAAATCTAACGTGTCACTGCAATATGCTTCCTCATATACACTCTCCAAAGTCCAAACAAGTGCATATAATCAAGAGATATCCCGTCAGTTAAAAAACATAGAAGTATGAACTAGTGATAAATTGTTACTTTTGTCAATTAAAAGCCATACCTTGCAAGTTTCTCCTTCCACGACCATCTTATATGGATGCCAGCTTGGATCCCTGAGGTAATCTTCCCACAAGGAGCAGAGTTCTGCTGCTTTGGCTTTTGCATCTTCACCACCATGTTTTATGTTTGCCACTTTGACAAATGGCTTTTCATCAAGCTCTCCCATCCTCTTCACACAGATATTGGCGCGGCTGTCGTTGAAAACCTTTGGAGATATATATATATACATATATATATATATATATATATATATAAACATAAAATTGTGTAAGATATTGCATATGCTCCATAATTTATCCATAAAGTTACCAATTTGTGTTTCTTATTTCATTCTGCTGCAAAGATCCTAAAGCAATACTGATACAGTTTAAGCAATTTAATTTTTCACCAGCCTCTGATAAAACCTTGTATTTCATGCAGAAAAGGAGAGAAGGAAAGGAGTTTAAAGGGATATCTTGTGACACTATTTCTAGGAAATTCTGCGACCTTTTTGAAGGATTTATAATTTTGGTGGTTGAGGAAAGAAAAACAAGGACTGCCAATACATCCAAGAACCATGAGAAGGAGGGACTTAAAGCCAGTTAATCAAACCAAAAGTGCCTTTCTGATTATCCAGACTTGAGCAATTGATATTACTTATCTGCGTCGCCTAGGCTGGATGCATGAAAAGCTACTGCTTATGCAGTGTAACTCGAAGCTGTTAGCTGATTACATTGTGAAACACAATGAAACCAGTAATATCTCCAATAAGAAGCCCTCGCTTTTTCTCAGTCTTCGACAGTTATGGCATAAGACATCTTAAAATATTGGCAAGATTCTAGGCACAATTGATGGCTTTACTTTAGGGATGATCACGGTATAACTTCACAAAATTGTTAAACCAATATTGTTTTGTAGTGAAGTCAGGGAATGGTTTATTTAATTCTATCATACTTTCTATCGCAGCATTTACAGTCTCCACAAACCTTGTCAAAAGGTGAATATCCCAAAGAATAGTGTTAATTAGCTGAAGCCATTAGCTGATCAATAGAGCTAGAATTTAAAGATTCAAAAGCTATGTTGCTTTGTAACGAAGTCGAAAACTCACACTTAATAATTGCTGGCGAGCTTGTTGCAGCTCGTCATTGGTCATTCTCTCCTTGATAATTAGAGCTTGATTTACAGTTTCCATGCCATCAAGTTCTTCTTTTTTATCATTAAGCTCTTCTTCGATTGCTTCCAACTTTTTTTTCACTTCCAAATCTTCTTCTTCACAAGTACTCATGTGTTTCATCACCTCAATCGCACCTCTCATACGCTGTATGTGCAACTCTAGCGCTTGCTTCTTATCAAGCTCTGACTCGAGCTCTATAATCTTTTTGTGAAGGAGTTCCTTTTGTCTCTGTCATTATCAATAAAACCAAAGATACTAAGAACTGAAGCTTATGTAAGCAGAAAAACGATCAAATGGTATCATACCTTTTGTTCTTCTGCAAGTTTCAGCATTTTTTCGTCAGCCTTCTTTTGTTCTATAATTGCCAACTCGTTCTGCAGAAAGACACGTAGTCATTCAAACATTTTTCAGTTTATTTTCAGGAAGATAGGGGCAATAAACATAATGGGAAAAGTCTTTAATTTCATAGAAAAAGAACAAACTACCATTTACGAACTATTAGGTTTCAAACAAGCAAAACCGCTAAGTAGTACAGCCTTCGCCATAATTAACTTCCATACCAGAATCCCAAGTGAGTTTCTTTCTACACGTCAGCGAGGAGTTTGGTATCAATCTATCATTTAAAGGAATGATGGAATATATAAACAAAGAAAACATCACCTTCTTCTTTTGTTTATCTAGATTCCTCTTCTCATTCTCATTCAGCGCTCGACGTTTCTCCAGTTCTGTCGTCCGCAGCTTTAATTTTAGTCTCTGAGCCTCCAATTCCGCTTTGCTTCTCTTTTGCTCCTCCGAAATCTTGCGGAGTTGATCAGATGCAATATCCTGCATTTTCTGGATCTCTTTTGCAATATTGAAAAGATTAGTTATTAAATTATTTTAATCATAAAACATAATAATATTGCAAGTTTTAGCTATCTTCTTATGTTGCGAGAGAACATCAATAAAACATTTAATTAAACCAGCAGCTTTGCCATATATAGTACCTTCATTGTAGCTTTGGATCATCTCTTCCTTCTGCATCATAATATTTCCCATGAAAAGGTCAGTCTTACTAATATTTTTCTTTATCTCCTCGCATTCCATTCTCTTTGACTCCAACTGATTAGTCAAACTGCACATTAAAGAGGTGTCTTTCCTTCTATTTTCCATTTCGATATCAGAAAGCGTCTTCAAGTCTCCGTTCTTCCTTAGGTGTTTACCAATAAGACCATTCTCATGATATTCATCTTCACGGGCTAGCCAGCCGAAGAACCCATTTCTTCTACAACTTCTCTGATGCCAATCTCTCTTTCCATGGCGATCCACTTCAAATGTATTTTCAAATGCCATAGCATCCTTAAAACCCTCCCAATCTTTGTTAAATTCAACAATAGCAAACCCTGAGTGGCCCTGGTAGTTCCACAAAGGGTGAACCTTTATAGGATTGTACCCATGGGTACATAAGTGCTCTTTCAGTTTTCCGCCACTTTCACCCACATATTTCCCCTCCTTTTTCTCAACTGGAATGTTTGCAATAACTGCCATCCAAGGCCAAACAATACGCTCGTTATCACCTTTATCAACATGCTTAACAGCTGCACAAGCTTTAGATTGCAAAGCCGGTTTGAAAACTTCTTCACCAGAATTTGCTGATGTAGCCTTGTTGATCACACCAAAATGTCCGGATCCGTTAGTTATTTCACCCTGTTCAATGTCTGGATAATTAACTTCAGCAGCTATATTTCCATTTTTTATCTTTGTTTCATATTGTTTTTTCTTTATTTCCCCAAGTTCAGTACGGATGAGTGTATCGTCAACATCAGTTCTCTCAAACACCTTTTCTATAGCTACTTCAAAAGATTTTCCTTTTTCATCTGAATGTTTAGGATTATATGCTGGGGATGGCTTCCTTTTCCTATGCCCATACCTACCCAAGTACCCGAGCAATCCTAGATGTCTAGCTTTGTCTCGAAAACTTGCACTTTTTGAGTCTCTACCAATTCTAGACGCGTGCCTTTCTAAGTCCACGAGATTATACTCTTTCCTCCGAGAGTCATGGCAATATGGACAACGGAGATATCTCCCAGCACCATCGATTCTGACTTTTCCATCTCTCAATTCTTTATAGTACCTATCCGCTAAATCTTGTACCTCAGAGTACCTACTGTCACTCCTTTCTCTTCTACGGGACATCTTCAACCTGCATTCCATAACGAAGAAAAGAAAAGGAAAAATGATAAAACACATACAAACAGAAAGATTACTATATACGTAACCTTTTAGGCATTTCATTTGGTGAATAAGCTGCATTCAGCTTCATTATAACTAAAGAAGTAAATCTCTCCGACTGAATTATAAGACGACATTGACCGACTTTTGTTTCATTAAGAATTTAAATACAGAGTAATGCTTCCGACCTATATATTTGATGGTTAGTTCTGATCTAGACTGTTTCTCTAAGCTTTCCCATATTATTATCGATTTATGGACTTGAATCTGGCAAGATAGTTGGTTGTGCTAAGATGGTGAAGGCTCTACCTCTTAGAACATTGTACTTACAATATCTGTGTTTGTGCGGGGTTGCTCAAGGTTGATTGTGAATTTCAGTTGGTTACTCAGTTTCAATAGTTATGTTCTATTAAAGAAAATGAGATTTATCATGTAGCATTATTGTTTAGGTCAACTTCCTAATTGTAAATGAAAAAATGCGTGACTCTTAATGGTTCACATTCAACAAGTTTTACTAAACCGAAAGATACACTTTGGTAATTTCTTGAAATAAATATTAAGTAATTACCAAAGCAGAATCAAGTCAACTGACCAACTAACAAGCATAGCCTCCTTTTCATTCGGGATTACAACAATGTCCTCATAAACTAGTAAACACTCACATTACGCATGACACAAGTACGCTTAAGTATATATCTAACCATATACTATGTTAAAATAAATTACACATGATATATACATTGGACAGTCCAGATTTCCTGAATACGTGCAGATAATCTATGTCAAAATAGAACAAGTGATTCTCCCAGTTTAAGATCTGAAATCCCAATCAAGGTTTTAAATAGCGGGCTAAAACGTTTCTGGCGCTGTAGCTATAGCGGAGCTATAGCGGGATTTAGCGGCTAAATTGCACATGAATACAAATAGCGGCACGCTGCCAAAAAAAGCTGTTTCTCAAATAGCGGCAACTTTAGCGAGCTATTTATTTCCTTGATCCCAATATATACCATATCTCTTTCTCCAAGAAAATCTTTAAAACAAATATTTAGAAACACATTCAGTTTATAAGTGGAAGTTTTTAGATCTACTGCCTTAACATCATTTTCCAAAATAGGCACACATAACATAAGCATCTGGTTTGGTTTAAGAAGTTCTAATCAATCATATCTTCCGTTAAACTATGTTCAATTTCTTACGAATTCGGGTTAGTTTTCATGTAATTTTCCTTGGTCACTAGCCAGAAACTATTTTCTATTTCATAAAAGCAAACAGGGCATGCATGTGCATAAAATGTGTACAATCAATCAAATAAGCATATAATAAACAATTCAATCAAAGTATATAAACAAAAAGAAAAAGAAACAAGATATCCCAAAGATACAAGCAGGTTCAACAACAAGCTTAGGCATACTGTAATATAGTACTCAAACAGGCATAAGAGAAAAGTGTTTGCAGCATTTTCACAACTCGTGTAGGTGAACAATTAGCTGATCCCACGCCCAAAAGGGAACTTTTTCCTGAATACTCCAACCAATTGATCCAGATAAAGAGTACTAAAAGAAAAAAACAAGGGTTTCAAAACCTAGGTTTTCTTTGATATCTTCCTTTTTCATGGAAATATTTGTACTCGAGTTCATGAAACAAAGTAAAATTTATACCGTTAAAATTTCTAACCTCTCATAAAATAGCTTCCAGCGTTGGATGCTTCAGGTGAACGCTAGGGTGACTGAACCGCCGAATATAATCGCAAGAAGATGAAGAGGTTTTGCCACAAAAAGAAATAAACTGAGAAGGAAGATGCTGAAAAAGGACTGTCAAACGCGCCAAAAATATGCAACAGAAGAGTACAAAATAATAAATGTTCCGGGCACGTCTGATTGTGTCTTGTTAAAGTTGGTAGTTCACACTCTTTTTTCTTTATAGCACTAGTACCAGTACGTATCCCGTGCTATTCACGGGTCAATTATGTTAAATGAGTCATTTTAATAGACATGTCCGTTTAGGCTTAAAAAGTAATAGAGTTAAATCTACTTGTAATCAAGTTGTTTTTAACTCATCACGTTAAACTCGCGCATATTAGCTATAGTCTATAATTTAATATATTTTATGTAGAATCATTTATACTAATAAAAAATGATTTTCGTATATAAGGGTGATTGTCCTTGAATCTCCAAAAAATTACGTACCAGTTTTTGTTACTTTTTCGTATTAGGCATTACGATGGGACGATGACTCATTATATTTCTAAAAAATAAATAAAAGTCAATTTTATTATTGAACATATCATTAAAAACAAATCAACAGTAAATTTAAAATATAAATTAACAAAATATATAAAAAAAAATTATTTTTAGTAATACTGTAAATAATTAGTATTTTCTTTAATTATTAAAAACAGTTGTAAAGTAAAAGAACACTAACAATAATTTTAGAGACCATCACAGCATGACAACCAAACAAAATCTGACACTAATTTAATTTTGGCCCAATACTATTAAATTTTTGGACAATAATAATTAACCCATATATTCGGTCCAATGCGCCTATTTTTCCATGTCGTAATAGGTGGCCCACATACATTAAATAAAAACTTTCACACCTTTAAAATTGTCCCATAAAATTGGCCCAATATACATTTATGTGAATGTATCTAACCCATAAACATATATATGTATACACCACATCGGACAGTTTAAATTTGGTCAACACGATCCAACTTCGCCTATAAAAGGCGACAATTCCCTTTTTTTAGGGTTTTCCTCAAACCACCGAGCCGATATTTATTTATGTGACATTTTCCCGTGTTTATCGTTTTAAAATGAAAAACGATTCACAATCCCTTTGAATAAATTATTTTTCGTACGAAAAATAGATAAGCAGTTACAGATTTGGTATGACACATTGGTAATCCCACAAATTATGGGCAGCATTAAATGCTGGCCGATACATGCAAAAAAAACTTAACCAAATTGGTAAGTATTTCATGCTGACCGGATTTGACCTGCAGTTGACCTGCCATTTTTTAAAAATGGTAATTCTTATTATATAGATATAGAAATAGATATTATGTATGTATGTGTGTTTGTTGTTGTACGACGGTTTTTATTGTTTATTTCATATTATGTAAAAGTTGAAATCATAAAAAAGAATCCCAAAAACTGAAACAATATATTTGCATAATTTAAGGTCATTAAGAAATCGATCTCCAAATCAGATTTGATTTTGAGAATCTGTGTTTTATTTCGAAATCCATACAAAATGGAATTCTATCCAACCAATAAATGTCATAGCAAATATTAACTCTTAATATCAGTGCATACCGAGCAAATTGTGTACATATTTCAGAAAATTAAAATGATTCATGTTAGGTAATTTTACATTTTATGTATGTTGTTGCACGGGGGGATTTAAATATTGTTTCATAGTATGTAAAAGTGTATTATTTTATTTTTATGAGATGTTGAATTTGAAAATTAACAGAATTATTCGTAATAGGAATTTTAAATGTGATAGTACTCTTTGGTATACACTATTAATAAAATCTATATTTAAAGTTTATATTTTTTGTTTTTCACCTGAAAAAATTCTTTAATTTAAAGAATCACATATATCTTCAATCAGTCTGCATCTATATACATTCTTCACAATTTTAAATTTTGAATTTGATGAGAATTCGTACATATGAGTGCAAAATATGGTTTAACAAATTAAATTTTTATTATTATTTCAGCCATACTTCTTTATACGACTTTTTGTGAAAATACAAAAGTAAATTCTTAATTTTAAATCACTCGTACATTAAAGTGTACAGTTTTTTGAAATTACAAAAGTAGTTTTTTTTTTTTAATTTAAATCAAATGTAAATTTAAATAAGCCATAAACAAAGATAATTTATTTTACTATTTAAATGCTAAATTAGCCGTTATTAATGTTGTTTGTTTATTTTGCCATGATTTTCTCCAAATTAAATTAACAACTACCATGATTTAAGGGCTCCATTTATGATGCTCGATTTTTTGCCCAAAAAAAACAAATAAAAATTAGTAAAAGTGGTATGTAATTAATGCAAATAAATTTTGACTATAATTTGACTTGCTATTTTTGAAAAATGGTAAATCTTTATATATATATATATATAGATATAGATTACGATTCACCGCCCCCTATTACTAGTCACCGTTCTCTTGTACGATTTTGCCTTTTTCATTTTTTCTAAAATCTAAGAAGAAACTCTCTCAGGTGATTCTTGGCGAAATGTCATCTTTCAGAGAGGTACGTTTTTTTGTTGTCCGGCCGGTGATTGCGTACAGGACCGACAGCGTTCGACCGCCAAGACCGGACGGCCCAAATGGCGTCCGGTCGGTCGGTTCGGAAACCTCATAGGCCCTACACGATCTTGGGTCGTACGGACTGGTCCGCGTAGGGGTGGACAAAAAAACTGAATTTCCCGGTACCGAGCCGGACCGGTATAGTCTCGTTCCAAAATAAGGTTCCGAAAGGTTTTATTTATTTTTGTCCCGTTCCAGGTCCCAAACTATTTTAAACAATGTCGGTATCGGTTTTGAATATTTTTGTCACGAACCGTCCCGTTTGTCCCGTTTTAATTAATTTGTAAAAAAATATTATATATTATACATATATATAATAAATGATATTTAGTAAAGTAGTAAACCTGTTCAATGTTCATGTTTCACTTTTCAGCTTTCAGAAGCATTCATTGGGCCTAACGCAGCCCACATGCTTCATTTTATTTCAAATTTAATTATCAACCTAATGGGCCAAGTTAGTAAATGAAAGTCCAGTCAACAACAAATTTCACTAACAGTCTAAGTGTAACACGTTACACTATTCACTTTCAGAGATCAAATCGAAACCCTTCTTTCTTCTATTTATGTATTTCAGACTTTCAGTATTTTGTGTTCAAGTGAAGACTGAATCATATAGTATGAGTGTATGACTGTATG